ATAGCAAGGACAGAGAAACAGTGAAGATGTATATTTAATTGTTTTATCTTGTTAGGTTACATGTAGTTGCATTAATCAAATGCATTCCAGATAGCTTCAGATCCAGTGAGTAAATGGCACAGGGTGACCACTGTCAAACATTTTGAAATTTGCTTTCACTCTATCTTTCTCACTCAGAGCAACACATGTCTAGTTTAAATACTTTAAAATGTCAAGGTAGAACCTCCAAATTACATGCTAGACAATTCCCAAGAATGGGAGAAGATTATCAGTCTTGGCTTGTTGGCTTTCAGGACATCTGATTAGCCACTGTGGGAAACCAGAGGCTGGACTAAAAGTTCAGTTTACAGCACTGAAGAAGTACAATTCTAAGCTTCTATTTGTAAGCCCAATAAAATTCAAGAACTAAGACTTAGTCAGAGGGGAATTCTGTGGTCTATAAAAACATCATGACTGAGCTACTCCCTGTGCTCTCTGCTGCCACTCCCTGCGCTCTCTGCTGCCACTCCCTGCACCAGCAGTCACATCTCTTGCAAGCCATCAGGTGACTCAGAAAGCAAAAAGGATACAGTCAGCCTTCCACGTCTACAAAGCAGAGGAAGGCCAAACGGATTTATCCCCTAGCATTGACTTCCTTTGCGGAACATCTGCTGCTTGCTTGAATTATCTAAGGGCTTGCTCTAAATTCCTGTCACATGCTCTTCCTTCTACACTCCCTCCATCACAATCCATTTGTGTTCATTACACAGACCCAGCTCGTCCTGCTGAGCACCACCTGTCCTAACACATTCCTTTTAATCCTTGTTAAGAATCTTACACTCAACAGATGGCACAAAGATGTCTGGCTATTAAACTTTTTTAAATGTGAGGAGACTGGCTTCTAAAGAGACAGCAAAGCTGTTCAGATCTCAGAACTGTTACTAAACCCTTTTTATGACCACCAATAGTTGTTTCAGTCATGTACTTGAAACATATTTGCATCATACATTTCATTGATATGTTTATACTGACTTCTGTGTGCATTTTTCTGCAGGGGTTGCACTATGAAAGCACGTAAGCATGATTTTTGTGTTAGGATTTGCAGTAGCACCCGCAGGACACCATGAAGGACTCCATCACACAATGATGCCATTACACAAATACCATCCTTACATACTTGAATCTGCAAGAAGTCTGATGTAAGTTGCAGCATTTGTGTGAAGTCATTATATACATTTCATAATTTGTGCCCCTCTGCAAATGCCTACGTGTGTTCAATTTGGAGACAATATGCAAAGAAAGCATGTATGATAGGAAGCATGAATTTGTACATTTAAGTTCCAAAGGATGATCAATTCAGAGCAATAGTGGATCACAGGGCACCTTAAAATACAAATCTGCCAACCATAGGTTAGCTTGCCAGTCAATGTGGTTAGTTTATACAGGGATACCACATTTGAACTGCAAAAATCATACTGTATAACCATTAGATTTGTTTGTGCTGCCATCTAGTGGTTGTCTTGATTCTTGCATTCCAAATATAGCAGCCCTGGTTTATGATTCAGCACACCATATCAATTCAAAAAGTGGGTTGAGTAAATCCCAGTTAAACACACAATATAAATACAGCCTCAAAACAAGGCTGTAATTGGGGGAAGAGATCCTGTTGATCAGTTTAAGCTTAAGTATCAGTTGGATTACTGCTACCATACCAGCCTCTCCACTGCATTGCAGTTTCCCTGCCTGAATGCTCAATGCAGCCACTCCCTTCTGTAGGGAGGACCTATTTAGTCTGCCCAATGGATTTCAGAGAGAAATTGGGGTTATTCTTGTGGCTTTGATGGTCTTAGTCACTTTCTGGAATTTGGGGGGGGTGCGAT